AATTTTAAGGTGTGACATGTTTGGTATCTACAGTCAGGTCCATAAATATTGGGACATGGACACAATTCTAACATTTTTGGCTCTATACACCACCACAATGGATTTGAAATGAAACTAACAAGATGTGCTTTAACTGCAGACTGTCAGCTTTAATTTGATGGTATTTACATCTAAATCAGGTGAACAGTGTAGGAATTACAACAGTTTGCATATGTGCCTCCCACTTGTTAAGGGACCGAAAGTAATGGGACAGAATAATAATCATAAATCAAACTTTCACTTTTTAATACTTGGTTGCAAATCCTTTGCAGTCAATTACAGCCTGAAGTGTGGAACGCATAGACATCACCAGACGCTGGGTTTCATCCCTGGTGATGCTCTGCCAGGCCTCTACTGCAACTGTCTTCAGTTCCTGCTTGTTCTTGGGGCATTTTCCCTTCAGTTTTGTCTTCAGCAAGTGAAATGCATGCTCAATCGGATTCAGGTCAGGTGATTGACTTGGCCATTGCATAACATTCCACTTCTTTCCCTTAAACAACTCTTTGGTTGCTTTAGCAGTATGCTTTGGGTCATTGTCCATCTGCACTGTGAAGAGGCATCCAATGAGTTCTGAAGCATTTGGCTGAATATGAGCAGATAATATTCCCGAAACACTTCAGAATTCATCCTGCTGCTTCTGTCAGCAGTCACATCATCAATAAATACAAGAGAAGCAGTTCCATTGGCAGCCATACATGCCCACGCCATGACACTACCACCACCATGCTTCACTGATTAGGTGGTATGCTTAGGATCATGAGCAGTTCCTTTCCTTCTCCATACTCTTCTCTTCCCATCACTCTGGTACAAGTTGATCTTGGTCTCATCTGTCCATAGGATGTTGTTCCAGAACTGTGAAGGCTTTTTTAGATGTCGTTTGGCAAACTCTAATCTGTCCTTCCTGTTTTTGAGGCTCACCAATGGTTTCCATCTTGTGATGAACCCTCTGTATTCACTCTGGTGAAGTCTTCTCTTGATTGTTGACTTTGACACACATACACCTACCTCCTGGAGAGTGTTCTTGATCTGACCAACTGTTGTGAAGGGTGTTTTCTTCACCAGGGAAAGAATTCTTCGGTCATCCACCACAGTTGTTTTCCGTGGTCTTCCGGGTCTTTTGGTGTTGCTGAGCTCACCGGTGCGTTCCTTCTTTTTAAGAATGTTCCAAACAGTTGTTTTGGCCACGCCTAATGTTTTTGCTATCTCTCTGATGGGTTTGTTTTGTTTTTTCATCCTAATGATGGCTTGCTTCACTGATAGTGACAGCTCTTTGGATCTCATCTTGAGAGTTGACAGCAACAGATTCCAAATGCAAATAGCACACTTGAAATGAACTCTGGACCTTTTATCTGCTCATTGTAATTGGGATAATGAGGGAATAACACACACCTGGCCATGGAACAGCTGAGAAGCCAATTGTCCCATTACTTTTGGTCCCTTAACAAGTGGGAGGCACATATGCAAACTGTTGTAATTCCTACATCGTTCACCTGATTTAGATGTAAATACCCTCAAATTAAAACTGACAGTCTGCAGTTAAAGCACATCTTGTTCATTTCATTTCAAATCCATTGTGGTGGTGTATAGAGCCAAAAATGTTAGAATTGTGTAGATGTCCCAATATTTATGGACCTGACTGTATTTACTTGGCGTAAGATCATCTTTTATACTTTACCAAACTATTACGTATTATATTATGTTTTTGTGCATTAAAATTCATTAAAGTGTATTTTTTTCCGAAAAAAATTGCATTTGAAAAACCGCTGTGCAGATACCATGTGACATATTAAACTGCAACACCTACCATTTTATTCTCTAGGGCCTCTGCTTTAAAAAAATATATAATGTTTGGGGGTCTGAAGTAACTTTTTATACAGATTTTTAAATGTAAACAAAAAGTGTCAGGAAAGATCTGGTCTTAAAGTGATTAAATCCCCACCCTAAATCATGGCCTTATTTGCTGCAGCCTAGAGGATTTAGGCCGGCCATACATGGGTCGATTTCCGAAAGATTTTTAGTTCAAAAATCAGACCTAAAAATAATCATCAGCCAATTTTTGTTTTGTTAGTGGGGCAATGGCACCTGCCGATTTTAATGGTTCCTCCCCATTTCGTTTATCGGGCATGCTGGAAAATTTGTAAAAAACGACCGATTTTCAAAATCATTGGTGGCACCATTGGATTACAGAACGAACAATGTTTTCAATCGAAAAATCATTCGTAATTCAACCCATGTATGTCCTGCTTTAAAGTGTTTGGGTTTTTTTAGGCACTTCTTTATTAAAATAATAAACTTATGGTAATACACAGAGCAGCTATTTAATAAATGGAACTTTACAAGTGCCCATGTAATAGATTGATGGGAGCTCCAGGCTAAAAGCAGGACGGGCCAGGCAGAAGAGGCGGCCGCATTGGGCCACTCAGCAGGAAGGGGGTGCACAAAGGGCAGGACCTGCAGTCTATACTGCTCAAGTAGTTTACAGCTCAGCAGGAGGAGGGTGCATTTCATAATTTGGTATACATTATGTGTAGGTATTTTTGGTGTATTCGTGGATGCACTGTTTAAAAGTACAATAGCGTGTCACAAACTTTAGTATTTCTCTGGATAAAATGGCCTTAGGCAATGGATCATATTACCCCCCAACACAGGTAACAGCCCTTCCCCACGCTCACACTGGACACTTCTATTAGAAGTAACTGGTGGGTGACCAGACTGTTTTAAATTGAAGGCACATCTAAGCAGTGCCAGGGCAACTAAGAGTCATGAGACTTCAGAGAGTCTCATGACTCTTCTCATTAACCACTTCACTACCTTCCTCCTTTAGCTGTTTACAGATTACAGTTTCCTTTTTCAGTAAAGTAATATAAAAACAAGGGGACAGCCAATAAAGATCTCCTTCTGAAAATTCAGGTTTCTCTGGCTTCAGTAATATTTGAGTAAATGACATACAAATATTGGTCTCTGATCAGTGACTCAGAGAGTTCTGAAGACATTGGGGTTGATTTACTAAAACTGGAGAGTCTACTGATAAATAATGTATCCCGCGCTACCACAGTGATCCTAAAATGCAAATTGACATTTCCTGCTGAACTTTCATACTGAGTGAACTATAGGTGGCTGCCACCAAAAAAAGTGCACACATTCACTATGTTAAACAAAAGAAAAGATTAGAATATTAAATGAAAGAATAGAATAGAAAATAATAGAATGGAATAGTAAATGAAAGAATAGAAAATAATAGAAGAGGAGAAAATTTGAAAAGTATAGAAAGAATATAACCGTCTTCCGAAATTGTCAATTAACTAAAAATTGGCAGCGCCTACCTGAATAAATGTGCCTAAAACATAAGATTAATACATCAAATACCAATTATTGTGATACAAGCAATATATAGTTCATAAACGTGTTCCATAAACAGAATCAGTCCCAGTCTTCAGTGTTGACACTTGTTCTTCATCAGTACATTCAATGTGTTAAATCACCTTCATACGTGTTCAAACCATTCATAAATATATGCAGTGCAGTAATTCCCACCACCGTTCAAAGATGCGCTCACCTTCCAATATGACCTGTAAGCAACCAAGTCTAATAACTTTCCCAACTTTGGGTGGGACTTCGATAATGCCCCTCTATGAATAGATCATCTCCTAGTCATTTTCAGAACCTCTTCACTTTCAGGTGTGTGACCCTTTAAATCTGCGGTATCCGCTCTACAACCAGAACTCATCAAACAAAAGATCTCCTCATGGTGTAGTATTATACAACATCAATTTTATTAAAAATATAAGTTGCACTCCCATAGAAGACTAATTGGCAAGCTAAAAACTTAATCCCAGACAGCGGGGCTGTGGCTCCCAGGACCTGGCTCCGCCCAACGCATGTCATCACGGTCACGTAACTTCCTCAGGGGTACGGGCGGGGTGCGCATATCCTCCCTAAATACTGGAATTGCCTGCCATTTTTAAGGAGTCCAGCAGGCGAGACACATAAGAATTATCCCACCTAAACACAGTAACCAGTAACACCGGAGAGTGCAAAATCTGGTGCAGTTCTGCATGGTAGCCACTTCAGCTTGCTCAATTAACCCCTTTACGCCAGCCGCACACAAATGTGTGCTGGGCCTAGACGCCGAGCGGCTGCACATTTGCGTTCAGGTGAGAAAAAACATATGTGCTGAGAGCGCGTGCCCTGTCCGGTACTCACGGAAAGGTCCCTGTCTGCTCTTTCGATCCAGACCTTTCCCAATCACATGACTGCCGAGACGACGCGTCACAGCGGTCACATGATCCCTAAACCACGCCCCGCCTCCCGGCTTCTGAAACTTTAAAAGGGCCAGGAGGCGCCGGCGGGAAGGGGTTAAGCTTTGACACACAAAAAAAATCTGGAAGCTGATTGGTTTCTATGCAGAACTGCACCATATTTTTCACTCTCCAGCTTTAATAAATCAACCCCATTGGATCAGCAAGACAGCCAAAGAACTATTTTTTTGGAAGTAGGTCAGCAATGGCAGCCTCTATACTCCCTCTGCACAGGTCTCTCTTCTTTAGCTTTTTTTTTTTCTCTGCGCTGGACACATTGGCCTGGTGTTGGTAAATCATGCGGTGTTGGATGATAGGAGCCCAGGGACACTGCCATTAGGTAGTTCTCCCATGATTAATGCACTCTCCCTGTTTAGGATGAAGACATTGTTTCAGGAAATCAAAGCTTCTATCAAAAACAACGTTGATCACGAACGCTCATTCTGGAGGCCAGTGCTCCCGTGGGGAGGCGTATTCACCATAAAAGCTGGCCGTAAAGCCATCTCTTGCATGCCCCTATATGTGGAGATTACCTTGAAGAACACTTGTACGATTGATGGCTTTTTGATGCTTCTTTATGTTATCCTGCGTGAAAACAACACATTCCCTCGGGAGCTGTCCCACTACCTAGGCAGAGAGTTTGTTGATTGTTTCCTCCATCTAATGGACACCTGCAGCTTCACTTCCGTCAAACTGCTATGGATATGGGACAAGATGGAGAAGAGGCAGTACAAGTCCGGCATACACAAAGCTTCTCCCTGGAGATTGACTTGTTTGGGAATGAACATGAGAATTTCACCAGAAACTTGGAGCGATTGATGGCCACAATACAGGAGAGTTACTGCTCCAACTCGCAGTGCCCCATCCGTGTGCAGGAGAGTCATATGGAGACTATTCTCATCAAGTAAGTAAAGCACTTAAAAGCAAAAATGTAGATTTTGAAAGCCATACAACTTACAAGATAAAGCCAAAGAATAAATAGCTTTTAACCTTACAAAAAGTATAGGCTTGCTTCCATCGGCAGCAAACGGGGTGGTGGTTTTTTTCTGCCCCTGAACCGCCACCTACAACCAAGGTCGACATTATGGGGCAACTCCAACCTAAGACTTTAAAAAACTGCATGCAAACATTCTGAAAACACAGGTCGCATTTTCAGTTTGTATGCGTTCAATATGTATCACCAGTGGAAACTAGCTCTGTGGGTTTTTGGATTTTGACTTTTGAATTTGGTCTTCTTTCACAAGACTTTGCATCATTTGTGTTGTACGTAAAATAACATAGGACTCGGAAGGCACTTAAAACTTGTTTACACAAGCTTCACCCTCTGAAGAGTGATCTGTAATGAAATGTATTTCAGAGGGCATGTGACAGGATGGGGTGATGCCACCTCACATTTTAAACCCCTAAAAACCTGCACCGCAACCACTTGCATTGCATTGCAATGCAGCCCCAGTCAGATGAATGGGTCACTTTTGGCATCCAGTACCTTTTTTTTGGGGGGGGGGGGGGGGGGGGTATTTTACCTTGCCGTAATATAAATCTGCATGTGTATACCCCATCCATCGCCTTTTGCAGCTAAAGGCTACATGCACACTGGCTTGAAAATTGCTGCTTCTACAGGAGTGTAGTGTTTTGCCTGTAGAAGCAGCTCAGTGTCCATGCACATTAGGACAATTAGAGGCATATTTTAACAGGGACGTGCAGTTCTTATTGCCTGATACCCGGGACATGCAGTTCCAGGTGCCGGGCAAGAGTTTTATTTTTCACATTTAGCCCTACTGCAGGTAAACAGCAGGGGTTAGAGCCGACAGTCGGCTCTCTTGTAAAGGCACATCCTCCCCTCACCAGCTGCCTTCCACCGACTGTCCCATCCCACTCTGGTGTGTGTCGTGTCCCTGGAGCTCCTCTTCCTCTTGACACATCATCGCCGGATAGTGCGGCCACATCTCCCCCTCTCCAGGTCCGTGGCCTGCTGTACAGTGAGGACCTACCTGTCCCCAGAGTTCCTCCCCCTCCCAGCATGTCACCTCTGGGCTAGTGTGCCCCCCCCCCCCCTTCACCTCCCTGGGCCTGTAGTCTGCTTTACGGTGAGGTTCAGTCACCATGGAGATGCAGTACAGGCATCGGCTGCTCCAAGGATGCTGGGAGTTATAGTCCGTTCTCTGCTATATACCCAGATGTACAATGTTTCTACAGATCGGACAGTTTGTTACTTAAAGGCCCTTGGTGGGCCTTTCAGGCTTTATTTTGGGGCGGTGCCCAGTAGTCAGGGGGGAGACCACCATACAGGGCGCAGAGATCCCACCGATATCTGTCCTCATATAATCCACTGAGAGTATGACCTATACCGGCTCTCAACCCTCCCCGCTGAATAGCTTTTACAAGCAGCCTTCCACGGGTGGAATGAAAGGCAACCTTGAGGGTGGGCATTAGAGCCTCTGTCAGTTTTTTCCTACTGTCTGTCCCAAGGATAGGAAGTTGGAGGAAATCTATAAACACAGCACAGCATCAATAACATTTTTTTTAGGAGCAAGGAACATTTAGAAGTTTTGTCAAGTAGTAGAAGACATCCAGATATATTACAAAGGCCACCGGCAGCGTGTTACAGCAAGCTCAGTGTATCTGACAAGGTTACTATAAACAGGGCAGCAACACGTTATCACAAGATTCTGTCTAGGACAAGATCAATAGGCAGTGAGCCCGGTACAGCCAGCCAGCCTCCCCACAACTTCTCAAACTTTCCTGGGCAACCTTTGTGTTGAAAAATATTATTTTCTAGGCGGAAAGTATTACCCATCTGGTTAATCCACTCCCTGGAAGTCGGCTGTTCTGGCTTCCAGTATTGTAGAATAAGTTTCCTGGCCTGGAGCAATACCCTATTTATAGGTGCCTTAGTAAATTCTGTTAAGTCCTAATCATCCAGAATGCCCAATACACAACATTGGAGGAACTTACAAGCTCAATGCTCTGTGTAATTGGGCAACTATATGGCAAATGAGGTTTAATGTTGATAAATGTAAGGTTCTGCACTTGGGGGCTAAGAATATGCATGCATCATACATACTAGGGGGGTACAACTGGGGGAATCAATAGTGGAGAAGGATCTGGGGGATCTGCTAGATCACAAGCTTAATAATGGCATGCAATGCCAAGCTGTGGTTTATAAAGCGAGCAAAATCCTCTCTTGTATTAAAAGAGGTATAGACTCCAGAGAGAGATATCATATTACCCCGGTACAAATCATTAGTAAGACCTCATCTGGAATATGCAGTTCAGTTTTGGGCACCAATTCACAAAAAGAACATTGGGGAACTGGAGAAAGTACAGAGAAGGGCAACCAAACTGATAAGAGGCATGAAGGAGCTCAGCTATGAGGAAAGATTAGAGGAACTGAATTTATTCTCTCTTGAGAAGAGGAGATTAAGGGGGGATATGATCTCCATGTATAATACATAAGGGGGGATATTTTTTTTTTTTTTTTTATAAATATTTATTAAATTTTTCCAATTCATATACAAAACATTTTTACATTTCTATTAAAATAATTATCCCAAATGTTTTCTCTTCTTACATAAATTATCCCTGTATATGATTTCTTTTCTTGCCCTCCCCCCCCATCTCCTCCAACCCCTCCCACGCTCAACATTCTTTTTACTCTCGTTAACTCCATATTATTCTGTTGTTTCTAAATCTCAATTCTAAGCCAGCTTCCAGGAATATTATCTCTTCATATATTTCACCTTTTCTCTGTATTCTTCCCAGCAGCCTTTCCATTTTTTATTATATAACTCCAGCTTGTCCTGGAGGGGGGGGGATATGATCTCCATGTATAAATACATCAGTGGTTCATATAGTGAACTCTGTGTAGAGTTGTTCACCCTGAGGTCATCAAAGAGAACAAGGGGACACTACGTCTGGAGGAAAAGAAATTTAATCTTCAAACACGGAAAGGTTTCTTCACAGTGAGAGCTGTGAAAATGTGGAATAGACTCCCTCAAGAGTTGGTTCTGGCCAGCTCAGTAGATTGCTTTAGAAAAAGTCCTGGATTCTTTCCTAGATACACAGAATATAACTGGATATAACATTTATAGGTAAAGTTGATCCAGGGAATATCCGATTGCCTCTTGGGATCAGGAAGGAATTTTTTCTCCTGCAGGAGCAAATTGGATTTTTTTGCCTTCCTCTGAATCAACTGTGGGTATAGGATTATAACTTTTTTTTTTCTATGGTTGAACTGGATGGACTTTTGTCTTTTTTCAGCCAGACTAACTATGTAACTATGTAAGGAACGATAGTTTGAAAAACCAAATTAATAGTATCGACTGTCTTTGCCCAATATCGATGAAGTTTAGGGCAGTGCTACAATAGATATATTAGATCACCTTGGGCTGTATTACATTTGCTGCACAAGGGGGACTCTATTGCTCTCGTATGGTACAGTTTCAGAGTTATATAGTGAGCACAATATAAAAAGCTGCCACGTAGTATTTAGAGAGCCTGAAAGTACTGACTCTAATACACTATCTCATTGCTGTTCCTCAAAGTTACCATCTTGGTCCCATTTATCCTTGGCCTTACAGGGATACCCCTCCCGATAGGGAAGGAATAACATTTCATAACATTGAGAGATAAAGCGATTTTAAGCCATCTTATACTGATACATTCTGCAAAGTGTCTACTGGAGGCCCTGGGGCAGATCCAGGTGCTGGAGAGATTGGTTCTTCTGGGAAGGGGAGACTGCCTTGGCTGCTGTCAGCTAAGGAGAGATAATAATGGAAAGGTTTCCATGTGTGAGCGATGAATCTGACTTTACTGGGTTTTTTTTTTTTGTCATAATTACAGCCCGCCTCATGACATACCTCATGGAGACCTAATTCAGATGGCAGTGGATGAACTGTTCTGCTCTAGGATGGAAGTGTGCGAAGAGAAAGGGTAAGAAACCTATTACAAGACTGTGGCATTGGTGACACTGTCATACTTCACGGCTGGCTTTTCTGTGGTCATATACTTTCAAACAAACACTGTACTGTAAAGTGTAGCAATTAAAAACATCAGATCGTATTCATTATTAGACTTCCGCAAGTTGAAATCCAGTTGCTATGAGTTACTGTGCACTGTTGACCATATTAATAAAGGGTAACGTACCCTGTACATCAGATCTTCGGACCCCTGGTACACACACACTCCCCCAGTCTGGCCAGGCATTGGGTGTTCTTCATGCAGGGATCAAGTGTCCTCTGTAAACCTGCACGTGTTGGGAGATCTCATAGATAACATTGGCTGTACCCAGCCTGGAGCATGAGCTCATGGTTACCATTATTCTCTGTGTTGTCTTCCAGGTATGTGCAAACATATAGAGGATGCTGAAGTGCAAATGAACACTGTTGGGCCCTTGGTAGACCAGAGCAGTTAAAATAACCAGCAGTCTGTATATGAAGTCTTACATTAAGGAATTTAAAAGGTAGAGTGGGATGCAGTTAAGAAATTATGTCAATGTCATAAAGTAAGCCTTAAAGTGTTAGGAAATCCACAACAGTAAAATCGGTCTGTATATGCAGTAAAGCATGCTTGTTATACTCACTGTGGAACCTAAGAGGTTAATCCTCCACATTGTGCAAAAAGTATGTTTGATCCTGTCTTCCCAGATCCTCCTTTTCTTCTACTATCCCCAGTCCATCTGCTGATACCACAGAGTTTTAGGAGTCACATGCTCAGTTTAGTATGTATTGCAAGAGAGTATTTTTTTTTCTTTCGGAGAGTGTATGTGATCATCACAAGGCCAATCAGCACTGTCCAGACAGAGGATCAGAGGTTATACAGCCTCATTAGAACAGTCAGAGCAGAAAATAAAACTCCTCCTACAAGCTTTGACCAGTGCTCTGCTGAAACACTGATAGAAGTCACTATATACTGCTGATGAGAACAGGTATTTAGCAGTTTATATTTACTAAAATAATTGTATTTCCATGTCTTGTGTTCTGTGGGAGACCAGATATAGTGAATGCAGGGTCCGGGAAGATCAGATATAGTGAATGCAGAGTCCAGGGAGACCAGATATAGGGAATGCAGGGTCCAGGGAAACCAGATATAGTGAATGCAGGGAGAGCGGATATAGTGAATGCAGGGTCCTGGGAGACCAGATATAGTGAATGCAGGGTCCTGGGAGACCAGATATAGTGAATGCAGGGTCCTGGGAGACCAGATATAGTGAATGCAGGGTCCTGGGAGACCAGATATAGTGAATGCAGGGTCCAGGGAGACCAGATATAGGGGAATGCAGGGTCCAGAGAAACCAGATATAGTGAATGCAGGGTCCAGGGAGAGCGGATATAGTGAGTGCAGGGTCCGGGGAGACCAAATATAGTGAATGCAGGGTCCGGGGAGACCAGATATAGTGAGTGCAGGGTCCGGGGAGACCAGATATAGTGAATGCAGGGTCCAGGGAGACCAGATATAGTGAATGCAGGGTCCAGGGAGACCAGATATAGTGAATGCAGGGACCAAAAGGTCTCCAAATGTAGCTTCCCCTGTAATCTGGCTGTATACTAAATACTAACTTTGAATGCCGGTTACTGAGATGCACATTAAAAAGAAAAATGAGGGGCGTTATGCCAATGTGACAAGATAGAATCCATCTCAGAATAAGTATATACCGTGCTCTAGACACATATGACCAGCATTCTAATGATGACAAGATTCATATGAGTACTTTTGTACTGCCTGCTATTGGAAAGCTATGTTACTTGGCTCATTTTTATGTTCGAGGCAGGTACACCTTAAATGATAATATTTAACTGTAAATTACTGTGCGTTCTGTCAGTGGCTGTCTTGTTTTTGCACAGGATGGTGACAGATATCAACTGTCTGTCTTGTCTAGGTGTGGATGCTTGAGGGAGTTTTCTCAGAGGGTTTTCTGTTACGGACCTCCTCCATTTGTTATATTAAACATGGAACAGTGGAAGTCGGAAGACCTGGCCTATGTACCTTATTATTTGGATTTATCTGATCACAAGTGAGTACAAAGTAACTGTACATCTCTTAATAATAGAGTGGATTGCATATCTACAATATTACAGGTGATTTGACATGTACTAACCGAGACAATGGAAAGATTTGTTCCTGCTTTAAACTGAGCAATGTAAAATTGACTTTATCCCACTGTGTTTATTCAAAGCATGCAGTAGGGAAGATAATGATTTGATCCCCTGCAGATTTTGTAAGTTTGCCCACTTACAAAGAAATGAAGGGTCTAGAATTTTTATCATAGGTGTATTTTAAATGATAGAGACAGAATATCAACCAAAAATCCAAAAGAAACACATGATACAAATGTTATAAACTGAGTTGCAGTTCAGTGAGTAAAATAAGTATTTGATCCCCTACCAACCAACAATAATTCTGGCGCTCACAGACTGGCTAAGTGCTCATGTGGTACACAGATTAGTCCTGTCACTTTAAGAAGGTGCTGCTAATGACAACTCGTTATGTGTATAAAAGACACCTATCCACAGAATCTCTTTTCCATTCAAACCTCATCATCACCATGGGCATAACCAAATTGCTGTCAAAGGATGTCCGAGACAAGATTGTAGACCTGCACACACAGCCATAGCTCAGCCCTGCCCCTTCTTCCCTCATTGGCTCATTGGTTGTGATTGACAGCTGCAAGAGCCAGTGGCTCCCACTGTTGTTCCAACCAATGAGGAAGGAGAGCCCCTGGAGAGCCAAGGCTCTTGTGCACATCACTGGATCACAGTGGGGTTCAGATAAGTATTGGGGGGTGGGGAGGGTCTACTACGCACAGGTTTTTTACCTTCATGCATAGAAAGCATGAAGGTTAAAAACCTTGAGCCTTTACAACCACTTTAAAAGCAGGCATGTCATTGAGGTACACAATTCAGTGACCCTTTGAGTGGCATACAATACCTTTTAATGGGGAGCAACACAGTGCCTTAATTGGTTAACAGTTCTGCTTTGCAGCACTGGGATCCTCGGCTTGAACCTCTTTCAGGATACTGTTTGCTCGTTCTCCTTGTGGGTTTCCCCCAGGTACTCCAGTTTCCTCCCACATTCCAATGACAAAATGGTAGGTTAATTGGCCCTAGAATGGTGTCCTAATGAGCACATCCAGCATGGCTCCCTTACCCTTTTTCTCCCCAAAACCAATTGGTGAGCACTTTGAGTCCTCAGGGAGAAAATGACTAAAGAAATAGACTTTGTATGAATTTATTGATACTATACCAGGCCACCTTCCCAGTCTCAGTGACCCTATGGCCAATGGATTTCAAGGGTTCATGTTTTGCCTATGAGGTCTGGTATTCAAGTACTGCAAGGTCTGTAACCAGTTCAGTATATGAATTGTTGTCCAGTTTCTCAAGATAGTTGAACATGTTGCAAACGTATTGTACAAGCTATGTAGTTTAGAACAGATTATACAAAAAAAAAATCATATTGTGTGGGATTACAAAGAGCCACTGCAGCTATAAAAGTTAGATGAAGTTGCTAGCCTGTATCTGAAAATGCTACTTACCTGGCTGTTATGCAGGATCACTGGCATCAGCATTTCCTAGATCACTGATAAGGAACAAGAATCCAGGAAAGCTGAAGCCCTTCTCTGCAAACTTGTACTGAGTAAGCGATTCAAAGAAGTTGATTTACTAAAGGCAAATAGACTGTGCACTTTACAAGTGCAGATGCAATAGTTTTCCCCATAGCTTAGTGAATGTAGTGAAGCTTCACTTTGTAAAGAATACCCAATCAGAGGCAAGGAAAATAAAAAAACAGCATTTTTGCGTGCACATGATTGGATGATAGAAGTCAACAGAGCTTCACCACATTCGCTAAGCTCCAGGGAAAATTAGTGCAACCAAACAAACTTGCAGAGTGCACAGTCTATTTGCTTTTGGCAAATCCACCACAAAGTATTGAAGCCAGAGAGATTTGATGAACCTAACCTAACAGATGTCACATGACCTGCTTTCAGATACCTGCTGGAAGGTGCCACTCTCTTCAACAAAGATGAGCATCACTACTCCGCAGCCTTCCAGATTGACGGCTATTGGATGCACTACGACGGCCTGAGGAATGTCAACATAATACTACTGAACAAACCCCCTGAGCTTCTCTTGTTGTCCTCTCTGGTATATGTGAGAGCTGCAGAAAAATAACCCAGCAAGTGTGATTGTGGTATTATCCAAATCGGTTATGTCATTTTTTTAAAAATTCTTTTTTTTTTTCCTTTTTTTTGTTTTTGCTCTTTTTTTTAACACGGATGGTAAATAGGAAATTTTAGAAGAAAAATAATTTAATATACTTAAGTATAATAACTACAGGGTTCTATCATGTTGGTGCTGATACATTTTGAGTTTAAATATTTATACTAAACAGTTTGTGCCTCCAACAAAGTGCAACTATCCGTTACAAAAAAAAAGTATCTTTTTTTTTCTAATTTTAGATGGTGGAAGGGCTACAAACTTTGTCAGGTTTTTGTTGCTGTGTCTTCACGGGGGAAATATACTCCCTTCCCGTCTATTTGTCCTCATGACTATTGTCACTGAGACAGGAAGAGATGGAAAATCCAAAAATTCTACAGTTGTCACCAAAAACAGAATAGAGGGGAAATCTTCCAATATTGACACCTGTTACAGTGACAACTGTCTAAGAAGGGATTTCCCATTACTTTGAAGCAATTTCTTTTCAGGAAATAAAGAGAAATCTCCCCAACAGGACACAAAAGAAACTAACAAGTTCTAAAACTTCCCTATGTATCAAAATTTAAAAAAAGAAAAGGTATCTAAAGATAGAATTGTAAGGAGAATTCTAGCAAAAAGTTTTAATGCAGAGTGCAGGAAGGAAGTCAGGGTGCTGGTGCCACCAGTACTCACACGTTTTACTTCAGTGATTACAGCATCTCTCGTCTCAGAGCACTTTGCAGCAGCAGAAATTAGTGCTTCAGAGAGACAAAAATGTAGGGCAAATTAACAGGTTTAATTGACAGGCACCCTCCCTAGCTTCACACACACATGTTGCTTTCACTCCCCCCTTTTTTGCTTTGGACAGAGCGCATGTTCTATTTAACTCAACACTTACCCTAACACTTAACCCTTCCTTCGCAGTAGATCTGTTGTTAAAATTAGTCTTCTCAAGAATCAGTAGGACTCAAACCAACATTCCTAAATCAACCTATTTAGGCTTCTGTGCATCATCATGTGACCTAAAGATGTTATAGGTGCATTGTGAGCATTTCATGTCATTACAGACTGCAGAGAATATATATTGTTAGTCAAACAAGCCCAAGCAGGTCGACTTGCGGTGTGATGAGGAGAGCACAGCACTGCAGAGCCTGCATGATTAATGAGCAATTTTGTCTGCCCCCATGTGTGTATGTATGTATGTATACATACTATATAAACAAACACGTTTTAGTTAGATTGACGACGTTAAGATTATCACTGATAGGAATAAATTCAAATAACACATACAGCAAATTATTTTGGGTGTATAGATTAATTTGCACTACGTTTCAGCTCTGAGTCTCCCCTGACAACTCTTAACCTCCTTACCCCCTGCATATAAGATTTTGTCCCAGTTGCTTTTTATATTATACCTGTATTGCACACACTTTAAGGTGTTTATATACAGTTTTCTAGCAGCTTGACCACTTTTATGGCCACATGGCAACCACGCCTGTCTATCTTCTCAAACACATTGGAATATTTTTAATGATGACTTCATGTTCAACACACATTTTGAGCCACAGTTTTAGAATCCCATTTGCATTTCATCTATATCTGTTTGAAGTACTCATTGTTTTCCCCATACAGGTCAAAGTAACAAGTTCACTTTAATCCTTCTTACCCAGTATCGTTCTTTCAGCTATCCTTTGCTCCTCAACTGCTTCATAGGGCTGCTGGGGGCAGGAAAAGCTGCTGTGTTAGCTGCGACTTGCTCAAGTTTTAGCTGACACATAGCAATGGACTTCCCCATGTAACAGCATTGGTGATTGACCCATCACTATCACACAAAGTGTATTCTCTTCCCTCCTGGAAGCTGAATGAAGGCAATGTAATTCTATTCTGCCGGGGGAGGCATAAAATGAACCTGCTGATTGCCCTGTATGGACATAGTATTGATTTGTTTTAAAGTAGAATTATGGCCCTCCATTAATAAATATGTGCAGAAACAATGAATTTTAGCTTTCTCGTATTCCCCCTGCAAAGTTCCACTAATACCTTTCGATCCTGCTATGAGGCCCACCTTGTGCAGGTTCCTGTGATGGTGTGGCAATGATGCTGCACTGCTCCTTAGGAGGTAAGTTACTGGCCAAATCACCAGGGGAAAAAAACCTAAAAAAGAAAACTAATACAGCCACTTCATCTAAAGAGCAGTAAGATGCAATATATTGCACTTTTTGTTTTGGGTTTATACAGCTTTAACACCCCTTTCCAGCCACACATACTTTTCTTATCTTTTCTTCACTTCCCCGTCTGATCAGCACCGGAGGGGGGGAAAGAAAAGACCCAGTACTTCAGGATGTGGAGGAGCATATGGGCACTGGGCTGATAAGCGTTGTACAGTAAATCCATTACCCTGTATGGCTATCATTCAGACAGCATGTAGCCTACACTATAGATTGCCATATGCAGAACAAATTCACTCACTGAGTGACACTGTTGGCCGCCTCCTGCCCGATGTCAATCGATTAAAAATCTAATGAGCCAAGTAGAGACTTGTCAGCTGAACAGCACCTGCATCCCATTAGATGCAGGCACAGTTTGTGTATTTTGACAGCTGGCTGTCAAAATACAGTAACCACAGCAGGGTGGATTCATCCATCCGCACTCTGTAGCATTGATGGAGGGATATGTTAGATATTTTCCATTTAGCTTGTA